GAGAGAGGGTGGGGTTTTGGGCCGTGTGTGTGCTAGGCTGTGGGGAAGGGGTGAGGTGGGGTAGGAAATTTGGTGAATATGATAGGGGATGGTGTCCTCCGTGGAGTCGAGGAATTGAAGATCTGAAGGTGTGGTGACATGATTAAAGGGAAAAACTGTTTCATCAAAAACGACATGACGGGAAGTGATGATTTTGTTGGTGGTTAAGTCGAGACATCGAAAACCGCACTGATTAGATGGGTAGCCAAGGAAAATTCAACGGACCGATCGAGGGGAAAGTTTATGAGGGGCGGTGGCTGAGGTGTTAGGATAGCAAAGGCATCCAAAAACACGTAGATAAGAGTAGGAGGGTGGGGTTTGAAAAAACACTTCGTGGGGGGTACGTTTTTGAAGAGTGGTGGTGGGTAGGAGGTTAAATAGATGGCAAGCCATATGAAGGGCTTCAACCCAATATTCAGGGGGCAGCTGGGCCTGGAAGAGGAGCGTCTGAATGGTGTTGTTGATGGTTCTGATAGTTTGCTCAGCACGTCCGTTTTGTTGACTCGTGTGGGGACAAGAGAAACGGAAGAGTATGCCTAGATCATTAAAAATAATTTGGAGAGGAGTGTTGCGATATTCTGTTCCGTTGTCACATTCTACAGCCTTAATGGTGGTGTTAAATTGATTTTTCACATAGGCTAAACAAGATTTTAGTTGGGAAAAAGCATCAGATTTGTGACGTAGAGGAAAAACCCATAAATAGTGTGAGAAATCATCTAGCAGAAGCATGTAAAATTTAAAGCCAGTAATACTAGGAAGAGGTGATTGCCATATATCAGTATGCATTAATTGAAACGGAAAACATGAAATTCGGACAGAAGAACTAAAGGAAGACGAACATGCTTTCCTAACTGACAAGCATGACTTAAAGTATCTTTAAAATGTTTATTATTAATGAGAACAGACAAAGAAGGGACTCCATGTAGAACAGCTGGGCTATGATGACCAAGACGACGATTCCATGTTTGTGTGTCAACGAGGGCTGCATGGACATGGGCTACGGGAGGGTGTGTGCGCAGAGGGTAAAGAGGACCGTCATTATTGGAGCGATGAATCATGGTTCCCGTATGAAGATCCTTCACAGAAAAACCACAGGAGTCAAATTCTATAGTGCAATTGTTATCATGGATAAATTGACGAACAGAAATGAGATTATGGATAATGTGAGGGGAGACTAAGACATTATTGAGGGATAGGAGTGGGGAGGTGGGAAAAATATGTTTACCAATTGCCGTAGCGCGTACTTTGGATCCGTTACCTACAGTGATGAGAGGTGGTGAATTTAAAGGCGAAGAATAAACCTGAGAAATAGTACCTGGGTTTGAAGCAATGTGGTGTGAGGCACCGGTGTCCATGAGCCATGTGGGTTCACGG